TTTTGCTGCTTTTATTGTTATGTTTCAATTAAATCATAGGACCTGACTTTAAGTTAAGGTTGGTTATCAAGATCTAATGCATGATTTGATGTCAAAAATAAGTGGGCAGTGCTGTTAGTTTCTGTGTATTGTTTTAAACTGTATTCAGTGCCAAAGAGTGAACAGGAAGGACGTAATCTCAGAGGTTTTTGTAGCTTCTCCATGGGCCCTGCTAAGAGTCACACTCCATATATTCTCAGAGTTTCTCTAGATTCACTGGTTATACAATTTGTGATCTGAACAGATTTGGGTTTGGAGACTCATATTATGGTTGCAGACACAGACATATACACCAGTGAAGGTCAAATAAAATGAAGGTCTTTATCAGGGGATGTGCCACATTCTAGGACTCAGAAAAACAAGTCAGTGAAATTAATATAGCTATAATTGCTGATAAAGCCCATTAAGAGGTCTTTTTGTGGTGATACTATAACTTTAAGAATTAAATTTGCTCAAAAATCAACAAGTAACCAGCCTTATCCAAATAGTAGCCATGGAAGAATAACATAAACATAAAGAAATTTCAGTTAACTATATGAAAGGAAGTAAGAGGTTTGGGGTGGAGGAGAGCTGAGATTGCAGCAGATTCTACCAAAAGGAAGGGAAAATGCCATATTGAAGTCCTGCCTACACAGTTAAGATAAGATAAAAATAAGCTCCTCTTAGCTGCTCTTTAGGATGGAAGAAGCAATAGAGAGGCCATTACTGACACATGATTGAGGCTCCAGGAGAGGCAGGAGGCCTTTAGAGCAAACCACAGTATTTCTGAAAGGGCCATTGAGGAAAACACTCAAAGGATCCCTCTTAAAGCTTCAGGTCAAATCCATTAAAAAATTATCCAGTGACTGGGTCACTGCTTAGAGATGGTGCCTCTCTAACAAGAAGGGCTTCCCAGGTAGTGTGAGTGGTAAAGAACCCTCCTGCCAATGCAGAAGAGGTAAGAGAAGTGGATTTGATCCGTGGGCTGGGAAGATCCCCTTCCCACTCCAGTATTCTTGTGGCAACCCACTCCAGTATTCTTGCCTGGAAAATTCCATGGACAGAGGAGCCTGGAGGGCTACAGTCCATGGGGTGGCAAAGAGTCGGACACAACTGAAGCAACTTAGCACAGCATAGCACAGCTCTAACAAGCGATCACAGAACAACTGCCTGGACTGCAGACAAGCCTCTGAAGAAGAGCACTGCCTCCCTGATGCCATTCCTAGGGTGATCTGAAGTGACCTATTACTGAGAGGCATGAATGTACTTTCTGTCCTCTGGCGCAGGATTTAACCTTGACACTACTGACATCTGGGGACCAGAGGAGCCACTGCTGTGGGGACCACCCTATGCACTATGGGATTTTTAGTAGCATCCCTGGCTTCTACCCAGCAGATGCCAGGAGCAACCCCCGGTTATGACAAATCTGTCTGTAGACTTTACCAAATATCCCCTTGGGAGAGACAGCCAAATCACTCCCAGATGAGAATCATTGTTCTGAGGGAATTTTCCTGAGAAATTAACGATATTAGGACTTTGGGGTAAACACACAGCAAAGGAAACACACAAAAGAAGGCAGCAAATAACAGACCAGGTTCAGTTCTGGTTTAGATGTTATTTCAGTGGGAGAATGTCTCCCAAGTGGATAATTCATCAGAAACAAAACTGGGTAAGATTACTTTGAACAATGGGCTTGTTTGGAAGACTTGGAACTCACTGATTTCATATCTTTCATGATACATTACCCCATACAAGACAAAATCAAGAGGAATATGCTAGAAAAGCAAGTATCTTGGCCCATAAAAAACAACAAAAAGCTTAACAAACACTAAAACAGAACAAAGATTGCTAATCCTAGATAACGGAAAAGAAGAGGTCGAATTAAGCAGATTTAAACTGTTAAGACCCATTTAGGTGTTTCTTAAAAAGAGAATAACTTACATAAATAGAAAACTGGAGGCACATCTTCACTAGTGCACACACACACACACACACACACACACACACACAAACCTGTCAAAAGAAAAAAGTGTTTTTCTGCTGTTTTTAAAGTGGCACAAATTTAAAGTTCCAGGAAAGGAACAATGCTGGGAAAGATGACTAGGCAGAAGAAATCAAAAGAGCCAGGCTTCTGGGGTCAAAAGCAGCAGCAGGCTCACCTGGAGCCTCAGTTACGCCAATAAAATGCCACTTCTCCAGAGCAGAGGAGGGCAGAGGGAGAGTATTTTGCTAGCGGCAGGTCTACAGACTCAAGCCATTCTGCAGCAAGAGAGAGCAGCAGAGACTTAAACGAATTCCCTGTTCATCAGACAGAGTGAAGATGACACCAATAGACTGAATCAGTCAACTCAACAATGGCATGCCAGAAACTTTATAAAGTGTAAGGGGAAATTCATAGAATTTGAAGATACTGGGAGCAGAAGAGGCACATCTCAAATATGACCTGGTGACTGGCAATGACAGTCTTATAAATTTCTAGATTTTGTATAATGGCAGAGAAGTCTCAAATATCATTTCTGGAGAGAGAAAGCTATACATTTAAGTGGATTCCATTTACCCAGTAACTTGAAGACTTCTCAGAAATGAGTAAGCTCAAAGGTTGTGCTTTCAGACAACTGGTAGAGACTGAATGCTATCCTGGGCTTCCCAGGTGCTGCTAGTGGTAAAAGAACCCACCTCCCAATGCAGAAGACATAAGAGATGCAAGTTCCTGGTAAATCTGAAACATGATTTTCACTCATCTCGCTTGTGGTGCATGAAAACTTGGACATGAATTTGGACTGTACTGAGATCTAGGTTCTAAGAATACAAGATTTTGACTTGGGTGACTATTTTTGGCCCATGGATCAGTCTGTTTTAAGTTTTTAGTGTGTACGTGCTAAGTCACTTCAGTCAGGTACAACTTTTTGCGACCCCATGGACTATAGCACTCCCGGCTTCTCTATCCACGGGATTCTCCAGGCAAAAATACTGGAGTGGGTTGTTGTACACTTCTCCAGGGGATCTTTCTGACCCAGGGGTTGAACACATGTCTCTTATATCTCCTGAATTGCCACTTGGGAAGCTGGCTGGTGTTAAAATAGTCTTATATGATCTTTCAACTCTTAGGATTGTTTAAAAAGTGGGGCTCCCAAGAAAGATTTGGAATTGAAATAATTTAATTCAGATCCTTCAGAGATTCTGATAGAATTATATCCATGTCAATAAATAAAAGACAGTCCACAATTCCACTATGGAAAGAACCCTGGTCCTCCCCAGAACACCTAAGTGCATGATTTCTGCCTGGAGGGCAGTGGGATTTAATTTTTGGAGTTTGATGTCTCTGCAATTTAATAATGGAAAGGCTTTATATTGTTCAAATTTTACTGTTGCAGATATTTTTAAAAGCAGCTAGTTAGACTCATTGCATAATTCTTGGTGAGCAATTTTTAGTTCCAGAGGGTTTTTTTTTTATTTGACTTTACCTACTTGAGAATAGTCCTCATTTCCCTTTTATAGTCTCTTCCACTAATTTCTGTCTCTTCCATTATTTCTCACTCAAGAGGAGCCGCTGGTTCTGATTGTTTGGCCTGGTCTTCCTTCCTCAAGTAGGCTGTAATATTTCTTTGCCTGATTCCTCTGTCTCGGTTCCCTCCAACCTGTACAGTTCCTGTTCCTGGGGTCTCTAAGGGAGTGCCAAAGAAGTTTTGTTCCTCTGGCACTGATAACATAGTAACTTAAATTGGTGATTCTCCTGCTTGTGCATGGGGTCTGGAGATGAAGGAAATAAGCTTTTCAGAATTGCACAGAACATTCTGCTTCTGCCAGGGCTGCTGGAACCATCAGGATCAGAAGATTCTCTCCCCAAATACGCCTCCCAGTAAGCAGACAAGTGAGCTTCCCTGGTCGCTCAGCTGGAAAAGAATCCGCCTGCAGTGCAGGAGACCCTGGTTCGATTCCTGGGTTGGGAAGGTCCCCTGGAGAAGGGATAGGCTACCCACTCCAGTATTCTTGGGCTTCCCTGGTGGCTCAGATGATTAAGAACCTGCCTCCTGCAATGCGGGAGACCTGGGTTCGATCCCTGGGTTGGGAAGATCCCCTGGAGAAGGGCATGGCAACCCACTCCAGAATTCTTGCCTGGAGAATCCCATGGACAAAGGAGCCTGGTGGGCTACAGTCCACGGAGTTACAAAGAATTGGACACGACTGACTGACTAAGCACAGCACAGCAAGCAGACAAGCGTAGCTCCTGTCACCTAAACACTGGCTTCTACCTGAAGGACCCTCTCATGTGACTCTCAAGCTTCTCCTATATCTCTGGCTCTTTCTGCTCAAGTACACTGCAGACGTTGAGGGCCAGCATCTTTTTAGTTTCTGGAGATTACATAGCCCAAATTTTGGTCAAGCTCTAGCATGGCTTATTTTAGTGGTTCAGTCCAGTGAAGACTTAGGAAGAAGAAATGTCACCAACATGTATCCATATAACCTCTCTTGAGAAATCTACTTGCTTTAACATTATATTTTTATTCAGAAATCAGCTCTTCTAGCTCTTATGATATTTCCACTTCATAATGTAGGCCTTTGACACATGTTTTATAATTGAAGATAGGTGGTCCTAAAAATTAAGTATTTTCAAATTCTATTCAAGAACATATTTCCTTTCATGAAAATAAAATCCTTGATCTGGTTAATATGAATCCAACTTTGCTTTGAACAGTTTGATACACACACACACACAGACATATATATATATAGCAATTGTAAATCTGTTTGCAACAGATCAAGTAACATCTAAAAACATGGTGCTTTCATGTATGTTTCAATATTTTATTACTCAACAAATACATATCAAATGCCTACTAACTGCCAGACATTGTTCTGCCATTCTGAGGACACAGCCAAGAACAGAGTGAACAAAAACACCTCTGTATTGGAGCTTCTAGTGTCAGTTACTTTCTAGTGAAATGCAATATCCATGACAACAATAAGGTGTCTTTACTGACCTCACATGGAATCTCAGCAGGAAGCACCACTGCCTGTGGTATTGTGCTTCCTGAAGCTTCTGATAATTCTTCAACTTCCTTTCTCTCACTGATTTGCCCAGAATGTTCCTTTCTTAGGTCTGGTGAAATAATGATCTCCAGGTAGTCCGCAGAACCTAAGGGAAAGTTCATTAATATGGATTATAATACAGCTAAGGCCATATTAAGTTCCTCCATTGTTATGAAAACTAATTGCTGAACAGTTGGCTTAATTAATATATGGGACAACCAAACTGAGTTTAAGATAGTCAAAACAATTGAACCAATGTTAATAATTAAAATGATGCCTCATAATTTAACTAGTATTACAACCTTAGCTACTAAACTAAATCAAATACATATTTTCATCTACTAGGTAAATATTTTCCTCCCAAAAAATCCAAATACCACTTTACATTAAAACAGTAAATCTGAAAAACATGAAACTATCTCCTTTCAATGACTGTAAATAAGAAAATTTATTTATTTAAAATCAGAACAATTTAACTCAGAACAATTATTTACCTTTTATGCATATTTCCAATTTTTAAAAACAATAGGCATAACTAGGAGATAATCTAAACAAACAAATATTTCTATGAAACACTAGTTTAATAGTGAAATATTAGTGTTCATCAAAACGTTAATGTGTCCTGTGAAAAAAGTATCTTCAATTAAATGATATGGGTTTCTTTATGGTAGTACTATTAAGAACACTAAAATATGCTAATGTGAATTTTGAATATAAGAAGGAGAAAAGTATTTGATTGTTTAAAAATGTAACAGTAATGTAACAGCATTTGGTCTCAATCATTAAAAAACTTTATTGAAGAGAAGAAGAGTTGTGTGAAGAGAGATGGACAATATTTTTATTGTCCAAAGTCCAAAGCGTTTCCTTAGGGCACAGAACTAATATGACTGAAACCAAGGCTCTCACAACAGACACTCACAGCTGTCATCTATCTTTGGCCAACCACAAAAGTGCCCCTCAAATCTCTGAAGAAGGGTACTGGAGAAATGGAAAACAGCTCCTAACAGCTAGAAATTGTCCTGATACCTTGTGAAGGCCTTGATGTTGCTAGGTGGTGGCCTCCCGTCCTGTGGAACACCAACAATCTCACAGAAAACCACCACCTCTAGACCACGCTGCCACCATGATGGGTCCAGTCAGAGATCAGGCTACTTTGTAATCATGTCTGAATCCAGGCAAAAACATGAACATTATCCAAACCACAAAAGGAACCAAATATCCTGAATCGTGGCTCCTGTGAGTGACTTTGCTTTTTTACCAAGTCTAGCCTCAGCCTCTTTTCATTTTTACCTTCCAGGTAGGGCAACCAACTCCTCCCAGTTTGCTTGGGATTTTGGGGAGGTTGTATGCTGAAAATGCTGTGCCCCAGAAACCCCTCAGTTGCAGGGAGAGTTGGTTACCCAGCTTCTCAGTAAGTCATTAATAACGCAAATCATAAAATTACACCTCTTTTTGACAACAAACAAACAATAGCAAAGCCCTGCTTCCATGAACCCTTCCTCAAATCACAATACAACCCTAAACCTACAGTAAGTCTTTTCTTAATACAATGTTACTGAGATGACCCATGGTTCGCCATGGTAGCCTTCACTTCATTGCTACTAGACAAAAAAAATAAATAATAGTTCAAGTACAGGTGTGTTCCTAGTTCCTCTGGCAAAAGGAAATTGACAGCATGACAAGGAAGAAGAGTCAAAGGCAATATAGATGAAGATCTATATATTGATGAAGGGGGCTAGAATTTTGGTGTCATTGCATCTCAAAAGTGAAGTCACCATTCCTATCAGAGAAGCAGAGTAACAAAAGTGATGTCCTCTGGAGAAGAGCTGTCCCCATGCTACACCTAAGAAGGGGTGTTTTGTTTTTTTTTTCTCCTGTCTTATGAAAGTTACAGAAGAAAAGTACAAAAGCACCTGGGATTTCCAGATTCTCCCAATATCAGTCCTGCTTGAAACGGCATGAAAAACAGCCTTCATTTCTCTAATGTATTTAAGACACTTCCATAAGCAGTCTCATTCTCTCTTTCTCTCTCATGCTCTTTTATACAGACCCCAAAACAGTGAAAGGTTGTATAGAACTGACTCAATCACTTTGTGAATTGATGAAAGAACAAGAGAACTGATTTTATTTAATGCATCTTAAGAGGTATATGCTGTTCCACCGTAGCAGTATCTAGGATGTTTTCTGCTAATTCATCTGTGGAATTAAGTTAGGAAGAGCCATCTTCTTTACTCTGAAGACATAATTATAGATGTGCAAAATATTTATCTCTATGAATGCTCACAGAAGATCTGTTTATAATGCGGAAAATTAGGAGCAGTCTAAGCAATAACAGACCAGATAAAAATATCTAATGTGATAAAAGATATTGTCACTAATTAAAATTCTATCAAAGAACATTTAACAGTAAGGAACAAGTTTATGACATAAGTGAAAAAATTCAAGTTACAAAATTGTCAATTTTGTAGGTTTCCATTTTAGTAAAATAAGAAGTATAGGACTTCCTGTTTCGGGTTCCATATTTAAGGAGCTTTGGAAGTCACCACTCTATCCTAACAAACAAAAAACTGAACAGACTAAAAATTGAACAACTCTTCTTTGGTTAATTTTTTGTTTGTACAGTTTGGCTGTGCTGGGTATTCACTGAAGCACTGGCTTTTCCCCAGTTGTGCAAGTGGGGGCTACTCTCTAGAGTGGTGCATGCCTTCTCGTGGATGTGACTTCTGAAGTGCAACTGACAAATTGCTGGACACTCAACAGAGGACAAGTCTGAGAGTTAAAATCTCCAGGAGGGTTCAGCTAAAAGATTGGAGGGGACACGTTATTTTGAGATTTAGCTCTAGGAGCTTGACCAGATGCCCACAGCAAATACTGGGGAACAGTATTTCTAAGGAAATGGAAACAACCTTAGACACTCCAGAGCACTCTAGTCTTCTTAACAAGGCCTGCCCTCAAGAAAAACTAGTTAATCAGAGCCTAATCTACTAAGGTATTTTCAGAGTCCAACTGACCACAGGAAGGGAAATAACTAACTGTAGTTTACTATAACAAACCTCTCTCACCTAAAGGGGATAAACAAACGGAGAAATTCTTGTGAGGTTCACAGTTGACAGGCGTAGGCTTACTAAAGGACTGAGACCTAATCACAGGACTCTAGAAAGCCTCCTCCCCACACCTCACCGCTGCATTCAGTTCAGTTCAGTTTAGTCACTCAGTCGTGTCTGACTCTTTGCGACCCCATGAATCGTAGCACGCCAGGCCTCCCTGTCCATCACCAAATCCCGGAGTTTACTCAAACTCATGCGCATTGAGTTGGTGATGCCATCCAGCCATCTCATCCTCTGTTGTCCCCTTCTCCTCCTGCCCCCAAAGTGTCTTTTAATTTCATGGCTGCAATCACCATCTGCAGTGATTTTGGAGCCCCCCCAAAAATAAAGTCTGACACTGTTTCCACTGTTTCCCCATCTATTTCCCGTGAAGTGATGGGACCAGATGCCACCACTGCATTACTAAAGGTCTATTTGCAACAGTTCTTTTTACAGAGAATATTTGTGTGTGAGCTATGTCCCTTCAGTTGTATCCAGCTCTTTTCAACTCTATGGACTGTAGCCCGCCCTCTGCCCATGGGATTCTCCAGGCAAGAATACTGGAGTGGGTCGCCATGCCCTCCTACAGGGTACCTTCTCAACTCAGGGATCGAACCCATGTCTCTTATGTCTCCTGCACTGGCAGGTGGGTTCTTTACCACTAGTGCCACCGGGGAAGCCCACATCATATCTAGTTATCAAGAAAAATTACAAGGCATACATACCAAAAGGAAGGGAGTACAATTTGAAGAGACCAGGGAAAAAGCATTTGTTTTCTGTTTTTGTTACCTTGTTGTTTGTTTCTGTTTTCTCTTCTACTGTTTTTCTGCCATTGTGTTTTACTGAATATTTTATATGATTCCATTTTTCTTCTTTTTTTATTTAGCATATCAGTCATACTCAAAAACATTTTTAGTGGTTATCCTGGAGTTTGCAATATGCATTTACAACTAGTCCAAGTCCAGTATCAAATAACACTGTACCACTTTATAGATAGTTTTAGTACCTTATAATAATAAAATGATTACTCCTCCCTCCTATACTTTATATTACTGCTTTCATTTATGTCATTATATATAAACATACACAAGCATATATATGTAAAATTTATATCATATATTATATAAGCATACATTATTGAATATATTGTTGATAATATTTTGAACAAACTATTATCTTCTAGATCAATGGCAAATAGGAAATATATATATATACTTTAATTTTATCTTCAGTTATTCCTTCTTTGATGCTACAGATCTGAATTTCTGATCTATATTACTTTTCTTTTCACTATAAAACTTCTTTTAACTTTTCTTTCAGGCAGGTCCACTGATAATAAATTTTTCAATATTTTTTCCTGAGGAAAATGTCTTACTAACAATAAACAAGTAGAACTGGAAGTTAAAAATGGAATACCACTTACAATAGTCCCTCTAGCTTTTTCTTTGTCCCTCCTCAAAATGAAATACTTAGGTATAAATCTAACAAAATATGTACAATATCAATATGATGAAAACCACAAAACTTTGATAACCAAAATCAAATAAGGACTAAGTAAATGGAAATATATTCTGTTCATGGATAGAAAAACTCAATAGTGTCAAGATGTCTGTTCTTCCCAATTTGCTCTATAGATTCAATTCAATCACAATAAAAATATCAGAAAATTACAGATATGGACAGACTGATTCTAAAGTTTATATGGAGAGGCAAGAGATCCAGAGTAGGCAACTTAATATTGAAGGTGAAGAACAATGTTGGAAAACTGATACTACACTACTTCAATACTTACTATAAAGTTACAGTGATCCAGGCAGTGTGGTCTTGGGAAAAGAATAATCAAACAGTTCAATGGAACACAATAAAGAGCCAAGAAAGAGAATCACATAAACATAGTTAATTGATCTTTGAGCAAGGAAAAAAATAATACAGTGAGGCAAAAAAAGTCACTTCAACAAAAGGTGATGGAATGACTAAATATTCACATGCAAAAAAAAAAAGCATCAAGATATAAACCTTA